GTCCAATTAAGTCTTTCTTAGGATACCTTTTTATTTATTTAAAATTATTGGCATTGTACTTATTGGAAGTACAATTTTTATTTATTTAAAGTAAATGTATTTATTAAATGTATTTGAAAAATTAATAGTTTTCATCTTATTTTAATAATGATTTTACTGTTTGGGGTGTTTTGCTAGTTCGTTTTTTTCTTGTAATTTTAACATATTATTTCATGACTTCTGCACTGCTGGTTGCATTGTCATTTTAGGAAAAAGCAAGCTAGTTAGCAATCTTGGAGCAGCATTGAACAAGTTACCGTGAGGAGTTCAATGGGGATAGGTGTTGGAAGCTTCTTATCAAATTTGTCATTGAGCATCTTGATGAGCAAAAGGGCAACCATGGAGATCAAGGAAGTGACCACCGCACCAGTGTGGGTTCCAGGCAATTTTGAGCAAAAGTTCACAAAGGTCTGTGGGAAAAGGACAAGGCAGGGAAAGTAATAACTTTGAGACACTGATGAAACACAACTTCTGCATGTCTACTTGTACTTACATAGATCAGTGACAATGGCCCAGATTTCTCTTCCAGGCTGATTCCAAAGACATACTTTAGCTGGGAAATCAGCACATGGATAGCAGCAGCGGTGGTATAGGCCCGCACCAAGGGCTCTGAAAGGTAGGTGGCCACAAATCCAAACTGCAGCAGGCCAAGGGCAACCTAAAAACAGATCAACAGTCAAGCTATATCTGCTGAAACCAAAACTCTTCCAAGATTTTCTAGCACATTTTTCTTAAGATATAATTAGCCCAGAGAGCCAATGACCCAGAAAGGAGAACAAATGCTTAACCAGTTCAGTTTCTATGAGAACAGCTAGTGCTAAGCAGAAAAGCACAAGTTTCAATAATTTGGAAGCCATCAGGCTCCCTGGAATCAAGATATCTTTTATTTCTCTTACAGCCTCTGTTTACTTAGCAGGAAGCAATCACCCAATCACTCACAAAGGGCAATCAACAGCTCTTTGGACACATTCTTATTAACTATTCAGGAGATTGTTTTTTCCACTCCTCACAATTCTCTGCATGCAGTGCCTCACAACATACAGTTTCCCTCTTCATCCTACTCTTTTCTTCCTGTTGAATCCCTCAAACTCTTGTTAGCTTGCTTAGCAAATAACTGCCTTCCAACATATCTGTGTCTCATTGACTGCAGCTACCTCACCCTGTCTAATAGTAGTAGGACCAGCCCTTTCAGCCTCAGAACCACAGCAAATCCAATGTTTCTTATCTTCAGATTTTAGATGCTGATTCAGTTTCCGCTTACAGAACCAGGTTTTTGGTGCACTATTAATCTCTCACTTACCTGGAATACGCCCACTAAGAAGGTGACTGCAGCTACCAGCTCTACTCGTGCTGCATCCCTACGGGTCTCATTGACAAATGTTTTGTTGGTGCCAGTGATCACTTCCAGATATTTTCCATTTGGTTCTAGTGAATCTGTCATACTTCCTAACATCACAGAAATGACAGCGAATGGACCTGTGGGAAGAAATCCAAGTTCTGAGTGAACTTCGTTATCTTCAGTCTCTTCTTGTGATGGCAGAGGTTTGCCTTCAAAAGATTTTGTAAAGGACTACTGCTTTCTTAGACCACGTTAACCACATACTATGATATAACAAATCTGTGTTGCAAAATGTATTAATAGGCTACTAAGCCACCAGCTCTAAATTAGGGTTGTACTGTCCAGCGTTATGCATAGGTGCTGCCAGATTTACTTGGGGTACAAGGTACTTTGAAGGCCTTGCTGCCTCATCTTCCTCCAGTGCTACCATTTGTCTCAACTTCCCCTCCCTCACTGAAGATCATCTTCTTTTCCCTGCTGTTGCTGGTCCTCCTCACTTCCTCTCTACTGCTCTTCTCCTTGCAAAACTTTTTCTGCTGTAACTTTCCACAATACATGGAAAAGGTACTATGCCAGCCAACTGGAAAATGCAGCACATTTTTTAAATGGAGTCTAAAAAGGGTGTCTATGCAGCTATGGCTTCCAGCTGTCCAATTAAGTCTTTCTTAGGATACCTTTCCACAAGCCATTTGGGGGCCTCCCAAACTTATGAATGCTAGTCTTATGGTTCACCTCTAGTGGTGCCATTGGCACTCTACCTCTAGTAAGCAGTGCAATAAAATATGATCCCACCAGGCATCTAATTTAGCATTTCCTGCTTACCAACAGAGATGTGCCTGGATGTTCCAAATAGGAAATACAGCAGAACTGGATAGAAGGACGAATACAAACCATGGACTGGGGGCAACCCTGCTAGGAGTGCATATGCCAAACCTTGGAAAAATAGAAGTGGAAGTTACCACATAGTTATCTTGATGTCAATAACACTTCATTTTTGCTGTATTCTAGTTTTATTCACCCATCAAGAACTTGTATAGGAAAGAGTATAGGGAATTTTTGTACAGGAATTTTTTATGGCCTCCTATCATTTCACATCAACTTGCTAATGTGTCTCAAATTCTTCGGACCAAGAGTAGGCAATACTGGCTCTCCAGATGCTTGAACCACAATTCCCATAAGCCCTAGTCAACACGATCAATACTCCAGAAGTTGTGGAGCAGATTATTTGAAAAGCACTAAGTTGCCTATCTCTGTCCAGATGTACACCTTACATCTGCAGTCCTTCCCCATTAAATACTAACTTTTTTTTGCCAAGGGCTTTTTCCTTTAAGTTACTCAGTTCCATCTTTTCAAGAGTAATGATGCAAAAGCAAAGACAGAATTTCAGTAGGTTTCTCCTACAGGAGAAGTGGGCAACTTTCCCAGGATAATGGGCTGCAACTTGATTCTATAACCACCTGGAAAGGTACAGGTGCCCTTACTAGAAGGGTAAGGAAGGTTGGGACTTCCAGGTTCAGCAGGTTCCTAGATTTGGTGTGATTAATAGTAGGGATGAGAACAGAAAGCCTCTGGAAGGCAATTGCTCTCATTTCCACCCTTAAAAAGCCTATTCTAAATAGCCCCAAATCTCAATGTGGAAATTTAGAAGTAACTAAACCAAGCTTTGAGAGTAGACATTTAAGTCACTGTGGAAAGACTTAAATGTGAAGATTGGGATGGTTTGCCTCCAGAGGCTTCCTGCTATTTCCAACCTTATACAGTATTTCCGAAAAATCAAACTAAGTTCACCCTGCTGTAGTCAATCATATTTCTATTGAATTTTGACGGTGAAATCTTGCAGGGCTGGGCTACTGCTTTTGAACCTCTTTTCTGTGTCTGTTTTTACTAGGCATTCATTGATTGCTCTAACTTTAGCACCAGAAATTATTTGGGAAAGTTCAGTCCAGAGAAACAGAAAGACACAAATGGTAATGGCACAGCCAAGTCATTTATGCAACTCTTGTTCTCCACTCAAATGTGTGCAGGGCTGATAGTTGGTCAGAGGTTATTACTCTTTCTCAAGATCCCAGGACTGACAAGAAGATTTCTGATAACATACCCTGTGGAAGATGCATAATTGCCACACTGAATCCTGAGATGATGTCCCCTAGTAGCCATTCTTTGACTGGGTAGTGTGGCAACCAGCTAAGGATGGGCAGGAACTGAAGTAGCAAGCCTTTTGCAGCTGATCCTGAGCATCTGGAAAAGAGGTGGACAAAGGTGTTTGGAAGAGGAAAGCAGGGTCTTCAATTTACATGGAGCTTGGGGAACATGGAGGAGCAAAAGAACTGGGAATCTGTTCCATGCCATGAGGTGAATTCATACATCACTCCCAGGATCCATCATAGATGGGCACTCAGGAAGAAAAAACACAATGGCCATGCCACATTATCCTGCAGGGGTAAAAGGAACAAATTCCAGAGTTGCAGTACTGGAACTCTGGACATTTTGATGGCTAAAAGCAGAGGTGGGGCTGCTCCACCTACTACTAACTAGTTTGTGTGCAACAAATGGCCTTGACCTTTCTGCCCCTTTCTTCTTCTTTTTTTTATTTTAGGAGTGCAGTAGAGCATGCAGCTGTTTGGCAAGGTTTTGCTCTGGGACTTGGCAAAAATAGCTAGCTAAGATTCAAAGAGTCACATCTAAAAAGGGTGGGAGCAGAAGGAGCTGAGGAGTGCTAGTTTTCAGGCGCTGACACGTGCAGACACTTCCACCTATGGCGGCTTCATCTGTGTACATAAACTCCAATGAACTTTTCCAGCCCTTTTAGACAGCAAAGTTGGCCACAAGAATATAAACAACCAAAAGAAGCAATGAAATATCACCAATAAAATGTAAAGTGGTACATGAAGAAAGTCATGAATGTCTATCTCAAGTACTTTCATGGTTACTTTCTTTCCCCATGGTAGTGCTGAGCATAACGTTGGAAGCTTCTTTTTGGAGAGTGACAAGATTGCATACAAAACTGCACTCTCTGTTGAGGCAAAACAGGCCAGACAACCAACTTATTTAATAGAGAGAGAGAGCAGCTTCCACATGACCTTAAATTATGGGATATACATACCCATTGCACTAGCCATGTTTGGGCTATGCACCATTATGCCAAGATATTCAAACATTACTTGTTTCTTGGATTTTTCTTCTCAAATTCTCAACTATTTGCAGAGAGGTCCTATGTGTGTTTATATGGAAGTAAGTCTCCTATGTTGAATTGAACTTACTCCCAAGTAAGTGAATGATGAAAATATAATCTAAAAGTCAATTAAAAAATCGGTCAATAAAATTGTTTTAAATAATTAGAAAGGAAGCCTTTAGTCAGTTGGGGTTCAGTTAAAATATTCAGGGAAATATATGATATTGACACCTGTGCCACTTCAACATTCACAAGAAAATCTACAAAGATGGAATAATACAGAAATACCCACAACAGAGGAATGGATTGGGGAGATGGCAGAACTTGCAGAAATGGATAAATTGATTTGTTTGATTAGGGAGGGAACAACAGCTACTTTTATAAAACACTGGAAACCCTTTATGGACTTTTTGCTGAAAATGGATAAAAATGAACTTATGATTTCTGGATTTACGGATTAGTAAGAGTTGAATATGGGGAGAGGAGAACCATGTTATGTAATTTAGAAGGGGGAAACGGTTTCAAGTATGTCTATAATGTCATAAAGAAGATTGGAAGTTGCTTCTTTAAGTATTTTTTAGTTTTCTTTTTCTTTGCTTTCTATTGTTTTCAACACCTTTTCTTTATCTTTCGTTCTTAGTTTTTTTCTATATTGTTTTCATGTTTATCTTTTAACTTTGCAAAACATTTATTGAATAAAAATTATATATAGAAAAATGCTTGAGAAAATCTGACAAATTTGAATGTTTGCAGACAGAAGAAGGCCTTAAAAGAGGACACTAAAGAGAAGGCTAAAACCCTTTTCTATAGATCAAAAATGCCGTCTCATTTCCTCTCATATACAAATCATCTAAATGCTTGGGTGTGCCGTGTGATTTTCTTTCTGAGGCATGCTCTCTATGGAAGACAGCCTGGAACAAAATGTTGCGGTATGAAATACTGTATTAGTGTTCCCTGATCCAGGTAGTCAACAACACCCTCTTCTATGATGCTTACACGTCTCCTCCAATACAGTTTTCTGTTTCCCTACCCCATGGTCATGCCACCTATTCTAGAAACAATTTCTGTTTCTACAAACTTCAAAGTTTCCCCAAATATGGGATGTCTTGAATATTGGTGGGATTGTTTGGATCACCTAAGTAATAGCAGATGCATCTAAACACAGAAAAGAGAGAGAAGAGTTTGGTGAACGGGAAGCCGTTTACATGCTGTAGCACTAGCATACTGTTCTTCTGCTCACTCAGAACTGATGCCTACGTCTTTTTTTGTCCTGGGAGTGGAAATATTCTGTCATCATTTACCTGTAAGCATCTGCCATCAGAAGCAACAGCTTGCTTTCCTCATGTTTTCCAATGCCCTTTCTCATTCATCTTTTCATAATCTAAAACATACTTTCCAGATTCTTCATACCATCAGTGAGGATTAGCAATACTTTACCTTATTTTCCTGATCTTGGTGGAAAGTGACGCTTGCGAAACTTGGTTTCTCAGGCCGATCTTCTCTAGCTCAGCCTCACTCAGCACTTCACCCACACCTTCTGCCTTAGAATGGCCTGGCTCTTCATTTTCCTCCATGCCCACTGCAATGATCCCACCTGTTTCGTGATTCAGCCTTGGGACTAGGAAGAGAAGAAGCAGCAGCTCCAAGGGCCATTAACGCTAAGCTTCCAGAGGTGGAACTGCATCTACCAAGATTTGGTTGGTCCCAACCTCTGCTAGCTTTTCAGAAAGCCTTAAAAACTTGGGAGTTAGAGTTGGTGGAGCCTGTGAAGTTGACATTAATTTATTGATGATTCATGTTGTCTACTGTAGCCATTTTGTGTTTTTTACAGGAAGCAGGTTAAGAATGCCTGGGTTTACGGACAACCCATAGTTAAGAATGGAGCCTATTGTAGCAAAATTTGAGTTAAATACACAATGGTTCAAGTTAATTACACAATACTACTTATACACTATTATACAATA